AGTGAAAATTTGGAACTCACAATCTTCTGGAAGTCAATGTTGAAAACTAAAAATAGATATATTTATTAAAAAAAAAGAAAAAATAAATGTATGCCTTTTTAATGCCATTTTAATGCCTCTTGTTTTATCTTCATTCATTTAGGCTGAGGGTTTATCATTGTGGTGATGAGAGTTCTAAAGTTTTTCAATGTTATTTTCCCTTAATGGTGTTAGCAATATATACATTGTTCTCTGGTTCTGTTCATTTCACTCTTCATCAGTTTAGAGAAGTCTTCCCAATTTACTTTGAAACTGTCCATTTCACTATTTTTTATGGCACAATAATATTCTACACATTCATATACCCCAATTTATCTAGCTGTTCCTCAATAGGAGGACCTCCTCCTTCCAATTTTTGTCTTCTATAATAGAACTACTATAAATATATCTGTACATATAGATCCTTTTTCTTTTCTTTGATGTCCTTGGGGTAGTCTAGTAGTTATATAGTTGGGTCAAAAGGCATGCACAGTTTGATAGCTTTCTGGGCAGAATTCCCAATTACTTTCCAGAACACTGGATAAATTTGCACCTCCACCAGTCCTACATTAGTGTGCATGTTTTCTCTGAAGCCTTTTCAAAAGTTTATAATTTCCTCTTTTTTGCAATCTTTATCAGTCTGATTAGATGTGAGGTTGAACCTCAACATTGCTTTAATTTTCATGTTTTCTAAAAATTAGTAATTTAAAATATTTTATATGGTTGTTGATAGCTTGTATTTCTTCCTTTGAAATCTGCCTGTTCATATCCTTTGACCATTTATCTTTAGGAAATGACTCTTAGTCATAAATTTGAATCAGTTCCATATATATCTGGGAAACTTGTTGCAAAGATTGTTTTCCCAGTTACCTGTTTTCCCTCTAATATTTACTGTTAAATTTGTTTGTGCAAAAATGTTTTAATTTTATATAAAAGATTATCTATTTTATCTCACTTGATCATCTCTATCACTTGTTTAGTCATGAACTATCCATACATAGATGTGAAAGTTAATTTCTTCTTAGCTCCTCTTAGTTGTTTATGATGTGACTTTTAATATCTATGTCATGTATCCATTTGGAACTTATCTTGGTTTATGGTGTGAAATGTTATCTGAACCTAATTTCTGTCAAACTGTTGTTCAGTTTTCCCAGCAGTTTTTGTTAAATAATGAGTTCTTCACCAGTAACTGGGGTCTTTGAATTTATCAAACACTGAGCTTCTATGTTTGTTTGCTTCACTATGTTGTATACCTAATCTATTCCTCTCTCTCTCTCTCTCTCTGTTTCTCTGTCTCTCTCTCTCCTCCCTCTTTCCTTCCCACTTATTTTTAACATTATCCTTAAGATTTTTTACCTTTTTTTCCTTCATAAGAATTTTGTTATTATTTTCTGTAGCTCTTAAGCAACAAGGTACCCCGAGGAGGAGGAAGCAAGCCAAAACACCTCCACAATCTTGCCTATAATGTCCCCTTATACTTATATGGAGATAACCTAGGACTCCTGGCCCAAGAACCTTGGGAATAGCAGTACCCCTAAACTTGACTATTTAGTGGAGCACTCACGCAGGGCAAGCACTCACATGGTGGTCAGAAAAGGCAATACAAGGATACTCTCAAGATCTCTCTTAAGAACTTTGGAATTGATTGTGTGACATGGGAGACACTGGCACAGGACCAACCAGCATGACATGCCCTCATCAGAGAAGGTATTGTGCCCTATAAGCAAAGCAGCATTGAAGTAGTCCAAAAGAGACATGAGACAAACAAATTCAAAGAATCCACCCCAAATGTTCATATTTGTGCCTGACCCCTCATGGAGCATTCTGAGCTCTTTACCCCCACAGCAGGCATCTGAGGAAGCTACTCTTGTGGTGAAGAGGTCAACCATCCCCACCAGCTGCCACCCACAGATCAGATTAGCCAGCCTAGCTGAAGCATCAAGGCACCCAGAGGAAGAGACAGGAGGCAATGTGTGCTAGACAAATTGAACAGCCTCCACCTTCTTTATGACCTTGTCCCCTCATACTTGAATGGAGGTGGCCCAGAATCTGAACCCAATAGCCTTTCCTGCTATTACCATAATAAAGGCTTCCAGCCTTGTGCCCATAGCCATCATCCTAGGAACCAAGGTGGTGAAATGAAGCCTGACAATTGCTCCTGCAACCACAGCTATTGAAGACCCAGAAAAGAAAATTCTTGCCACCAAAGTTCTTGGAATTGTCAAATAACTTAGCATCAGAAACAGATAAGATTTTATCAGTGGAAATGACATTAAAGAAGAGAAATTACTATTTGATATACCACTGCACTCTAAGGACCATAGGACCTTTTAATCTGACCTGCAACTGAAACGTTCCATGTGTGTTATTTCCCCTATTAGAATGTGAGCTCCTTGCTAACAAGGATTGTCTTACTTTTCTATTTGTATCCTCTGCATTTAGCACATTGCTTTGCACTTAGTAAACCCTTAATAACTACTTTTTCATTCATTCATTAGAATATTCTTTTGGGAGATTGGCACAGCATTGATAAATTAATTTAGGTAATATTGTCATTTTTATTATATTGACTCAACCTCTCCAGGAGTAATTTATATTTCTCTAATTATTTAGGTCTGTCTTTATTTCTGCAAAGAGTATTTTATAGTTAGATTCATATTATTCCTGTGTGAATCTTAGAAGATAATCTCCCAAGTAGCTTATATTTTCTGTGGTTGTTTTGAATGAAATTTCTCATTCTAGATCTTGGTGGTTTTTGTTGATTACATGTAAGAATGCTGATTTATGTGGATTTATCTTATATCCTACAACTTTGATGATGTTATTAATTATTTCAGTTAATTTTTAGTTGACTCATTGGGATTCTCTAAGTACATCTGCAAAAAGCAATAAATTTGTTTTTTCTTTTCCCATGATCAGGTGATGGCTATGGAGACTGGGCTAGAAAAGAGACTGGTAGTCTATGGGATGCTGTCACTCCCAGAGCTCTTGTATTTACATGTTCAACAGTTGTTGCTGGTGGTGATGAGGAAGGTATCCACAATGAAGAAGGTCTTCTCTTCTCCATAATGATTTCTCTCCTTAATTATGGCTGTGGGGGCTAGGCTGGAAGCAGTCTTGCTTAGTCTTATTCCTTCAATTTCTTTTTCTTGTCTTCATTGCTCTAGTTAGCATTTCTAGTACTATGTTAATAGTAGTGATGAGGAGTTTACATTCTAGTGGGAGAGACAACGTGCATAAGGGGACAGTGGCCAAGTAGGGGTATTTTGGTTCTGAAAGTTATCGAGATAGTGAATGGGGGTCATAGAGCAGAGGTGATTTGATCGTGGTTCACGGTTCCCAAATTGAAGAGTGAAGGAGAGGGCCTGAATGAAGAGAAAAGTGACTGAAACTTTCCTGAAGTAGTGGTTTGTGAGAGGCAATCAACAATTAGGATAACAAGCCCCAAGCAGAAGTTATGGGCAATGAAACCCTTGGTGAAAAGGTTGTGGAGGAGGTGATGGGAGAAGATGACTGCTTGCTGGCCAGGGTAGGATGTTTTGGTCATGGAGGTCACAGTGTTGGTTACTAGTCAAAATAGCCACTATGGGCTATTGAGAATCTTCCTATAGACTCCTACACTTGACTTTCTCTTA